AATGATATCCAACCTTCATCTCCTCATTTTTGAGTATTAAAATTTCGAAATTATAAAAATATTTAACATTTTAAAAAGTTTATAAATTTTGAACTCCAAAAGTTTTGATTTTTCTTTCATTTTAAACTAAAACTTTTGAAATGTAATCACAAATGCCACACAACAATTTAGGTTTTAACGAATCGAATTTAGATTAAATTAAATAAATTTAATTTCAAATCTAATTATTCATTTATACATTTAAATCTAATCCAAAAACTTATAAGATTTATATTTATTAATCTATATATAAATTCGACAAAAAAATCTTACTTTTTTCACTTAAACCCTTTAATTTTATTTTATTAATCATATTAATTTTTAAATTTTTAAATTTTTTCAATTTAATTCTAAAGATTTCTATTTATTAATAATATATATAGAATTATTAATATATATATATATATATCTAATTAGTAATTTAATAAGAAATTCTGTTAAAATTTAGATTATAATTTTTAATAAATTAAATTACTTGACTTTATAATTTAATCTATTTATTTCGAATTACAAATATTTATAATTAAATTTGACCTATCAAATATTTTAATCAAATTTAACTACTAAAATTCAAATCAAATTTTCTTCATATTTGAATAAAAGTCTAACTCATTAAACATTCGACAACAATCTTGCCAAATATGAGAAAGCCATCAATGCTCTGTACATAGCAGGAAGAATTCACTAACTCTAGATTATATATGTAATAAATAATACGCAATTAGTCTTTTGGTTGTTTAGACCTAAAAATTTTTATAAAAAATAAAACTGAACCGAGCGGTTCTCAAATGAAAGTCAAAACCATATCAGATTAAATAATTCGGTCGAATTCCAATGGGTTTTTAAAGATGCAGTTTACCAGAACCATTTGTTTGTGATTCACTTGTTGATAACCCCCCTGGAACTGGACTCCACCTCCTTCAGCAAAGAAAAACCAGGTATGCTATTATTGCTCTTTTCTGACGTGTTAGAGACTTCAACTACGAATATGTATCTCATGTGGGGAAGTCATACAAGTGTTTCATGTTGATATATTTTTACATAATATATTTTTTATATCCCATAACTTTTTTAGGGTTTAAATGTCAAAGTGATGAGTTCAGACAAGAACAAAAGAATGGTAGGCCTCGCCTGCCGAGTGAGGCTGTAAGTTTTAACATTTATCTTCATGCTTATGAATAATAACATACATGAACAATTCATCTTGTGTACATCCTAATGTCCTAAATTTGGAAAAACATATAAGAAGCAAGAAGGAAATATATAGAGCCAGGCAATCAACCAAAACATGCATCATGCTTCATAGATTACAAGAGTCAACGGAGTACAGGTAAAAACTCAAATTGCAAAATCAGATTTGGATAAGGGTATAATGGAATGTCCCAAACTACAAGTTAAATAAATACCTCAATTTCCAAAATCATCACCTCAAATTGCTTACTAAATTGTGCCTCCAATTAAAGGTGATCTAATTTTGTCGTACGATACCCGAGATGATCATTCTTGTACATTAATGAGCTGCTTTGCCAGGGTAAAATAGCAACAACCATGTCAAAAGAGAGCCTTTGGTAATTGTTTGTGATCATTACTTCAAAGCTCGAGAGTATAGGTACTGTATTTACTTTTAGCCTATCTCCTTCTGTGTTTTCTATCGCACTCAAGACAGTCAGAACATGGAGATCTTCTTCTTCGTTTTTTTAATAAAAACAAATGAGATATAAATGGTAGAATTTTTTAGTAGGTTTATATTAATTGCTTAATTTTATTTTTATAAAAAATAGATTAAAATAGGTGATGTAAACTTATATTAAGTCATTGACTATTTAGGCCTTGTACAATAGACCACACACAATTTCTTATAAGTACTATGTAGTTATAATATAAATCCAACTCAAAATTTCTTTAATATTAAGGGTATCTGAGCCTAGATCTTCTCCACTAATAAAATGATTATTCTCATCAATTATTATCTCTAGAAGCTGAAAACAAAAATCTGATCTTTGGTAACTACTTAGATATTAGTCTGAATGATTTTAAAACTAGCACAATATGCATATTCTTCTATTTAATTGATATTTAATATTCATGTAATGATATGAATTTAATCTAACATGTGGTACAACCTAATTTTTCAACCGTGGAAAAAGGAGGCTTGTTCTATTGAAACCCTAAAAGCTTTTCATTGTGCCCTTCTATGTGAACTAAGGATTACCATTTATTAAAATAATAATAAAATACAAATAAAAACCCTAGTTACAACTATACTAGCAATTAAGGGGTTAAGGCTGCGTTTGGTATTCTGGCGTGGAAAGAAAAAGAAGGGATGTCATGTGAAAAAAAAGAAAAGAAAGAAAAGGAAGAGAATGAATACTTTCCTTCATTTATTTGGTATCATCTAATGAAAAAAAGGGATATTTTTTGTGCTTTATTTAGTTTAAGGAAAAGAAAGGAAATGTATAAAAATAAATATTGTAAGAACTTAATTAAATGAAATTAAAATTTAAGGGTTTAAACAAAGAAATTAAAATTCAAAAAGTGATATGAAAAAATTGAGAACAATAAGGACAAAATTGAAAAGGATGAAAATCTTGAAGACCCAACTCATAAATCTAGAAAATTTGTTTCACAGAGCACTTTGCAGTATCTATCCATCACCATTGACTTCGAAGTTTCATAGCAATTGTCAACCGACGGGGGGAGAAAACTTTTATCGCCGTTGCCAACCAACAGGAGAGAAAGCTTCCGCTTTTACTATCATGGTGCTCTGTTAAGCAACCGAGAAGCAAGGGAGACTTTTATAGCAGTTCCTACAATACTCCTTCGAGGAGGAAGCTTTTGCTTTTGTTCTCACGGTGCTTTATTTAGCAGCCAAGAAGCAGGGGATACTTTTACAACAATCCTCCTTTGCCACGTGTACGATGGAGATTGTGTTACATATACGATCAGGACTGAAAGTTGTGACAAAATTTGAAATTCCGTCCAAGCACCACAGGCGTGTAATGACCTTAATTAAATTTACTGGGGAAAAATAATTAATTAATGGAGATTAGGGGTTTAATTGATAAGGATTGAAGTTCGTAAGGCAAATCTGGAATTCTTAAGAGGGTTAACTGCAGAAATTGTGAGATCTGAGGGCCAATTAGTAAATCAGGGAAGTTGGGGTTAAAATTAAAAAGAGTGGGGATGCAATTGAACGAAATAAAAGAAACGAGTGCCAAATCAAAAATATGGAAGGACTTAATTGAAAGGAAATGAGATTTGTAGGACCAAATTTTGACAGAAAAGATAACTTATAGATCCATTGAGCACCGAATCTGTTCTTGACAAATTCACCACCATTTGGCATGATTTCAGTCCAATTTCTTATACAATAGTGTGCGAGGCTTGAAGATAAACCAAAGCCCTCGATCAAGCTTTGATTTAAATTTCTTTTAATTTTAAACTAAAATTTTTGAGATGTAATCATTATTAGACATACGGCACACAACAATTTTAAGATTTCAATGAATTAAAAATTTAATTCTAAATATAATTATTCATTTTTATACTTGAATTTGATACAAGATTTTATAAAATTTATATCTATTAATATATATATATATATATATATCCGACAATAAAATTTTACTATTTTTCAATTAAATCTCCTAATTATGTTCTATCAATTTATTGACTCCTAAATTTTCTAATTTTCTTAATTTAATCATAAAAGTTTCTATTTATTAATAAAATATATAATTATTAATATATAAATTATTAATTTAATAAAAAAGACTATTAAAATTTATATTAAATTTTTAACAGGTTAAATTATTTAATTTCATAATTCAATCTATTTATTTCAAATTACAAATATTTATAATAAAATTTAATTCATTAAATATTTAAATCATATTTAAATTTAAAAATTCATATTAAATTTAGACAAAATTCAAATAAAAATCTGACTCGCTAAAAGTTCTGCAACAATCTTGCCAAATGAAGGAGAAAGCCATAAATGCTCTATGCATACCAAGAAGAATTCACCAACTCTAGATTATAAATGTAATATATATTACGTAATTAGTCATTTGGTTGGGTAGACACAAATTTTAAATATATTAAAAAAAAAACCGAACCGAGCGGTTCTCAAATAAAAGTCAAAACCAAATCAGACAAAATAATCCGGTCGAATTCCGATGGGTTTTTAAAGATGCTGTTTACCAGAAGCATTTGTTTGTGATTCACTTGTTGATAACCCCCTGGAACTGGACCCCATCTCCTTCAGCAAAGAAAAACCAGGTATGTATTATTGCTCTATTCTGACGTGCTATATAGACTTCAACTTCGAAAATGTCTCTGATGGGGGGGAGTTATACGCGTGTTTCATGTTCATATATTTTTACATAATACATTTTATATATCCCAGAACTTTTTTAGGGTTTAAATGTCAAAGTGATAAGTTCAGACAAGAACATTAATGGTAGGCCCCACCTGCCGTATGAGGCCGTAAGTTTTATCTTAATGCTTATGAATAATAACATACAAGAACTATTCATCTTGTGTACATCTTAATATCCTAAAATTTGGAAAAACAAATAAGAAGCAGCAAGGAAATATAGAGCCAGGCAATCAACCAAAAACATGTATCATGCTTCATAGATGGCAGAGTCGAAGGAGTACTGGTAGAAACTCAAATTGCAAAATCAGACTTGGATAAGGGTATAATGGAATGTCCCAAACTAAAAGTTAAATAAATACCTCAATTTCCTAAATCACCGTCTCAAATTGCTTACTAAATTGTGCCTCCAATTAAAGGTTATCTAATTTGCTCGTATGACACCCCAGAAAATCATTCTTATACATTAATGAGCTGCTTTGCCAGGGTAAAATAGCAAAAACCATGTCAAAGAGAGCATTTGGTAATTGTTGTGGTCATTACTTGAAAGCTCGAGAGTATAGGTACTGTATTTACTTTTAGCCTATCTCCTTCGGTGTTTTCTACGGCACTCAAGACAGTCAGAACATGGAGATCTACTAGCTGGATAGCTGGTTTGGAGTTTACTGGGAGGAATTTTCAGTTCTTCCAGTATTATCTGGCGGAGCTTCTCATTTTCCTCCATAAGCTCCTCAATCACTTGCTGGTGTTTCAAGACCTGCAAACATGGAATGTTATGCTTTCAGTTAATAACATTAGGATTAGTGTTGAATGGTGGAGGATCAGGAGGCGAACAGGGATGATACGAAGTTGTTGGTTAATGATTTACTAAGCCAAATTGATCAACTTATAAATACGAAGTTGTCCCACAAAATTAGAAAATCTTTCAGCCTGCTATGACCACTGAAATTAATGGGGACTTGAGAAATTAGCTTAAAAATTGTTTCAAAGGGAAAGTAAAAGATTACCATATGGAGCACATTGTTTTCAGACCTCAGGTGCCGAGCCTGCAAGGGTGAACCAGCAATTAGACAAGGAAAGAGAAAAACAAAAAAGCAAAGTCATTTCCCACTTAAGGAGGTAGTTTCAATTCAAATAACTACGAAGGGGAATAAAATACATCTAGACTCAAAGTGGTTTTGTTGTAATTTCAGCATGCTGTGGACCAGCGGGAATCTAGTGGGAAATGCAATAGGTTATGCTGTCAAATATCCCCAGGCTTTGTTGCTTCTGGTAGGCAGGGCAGCTTATTATATTTTCAGGAAAACGGAAGAAATGAAATCAAATAAAAAAATTGTTAATCTTGTCCAGGGGAACCATTATTCATGAAGAGGTAATGCTGGTGCCCATTTGATCAGCTTCCTAATTATACGACTCAATATACTAAAGAGGAGCAGAATTGAAATATAGGGATCAAGTATAATCAAGTCAAGACAAAGAGGACAAACCGTCTTGTCTGATGAGAAATTCAGTGGATCACAATAAAAGACTAGAAGGTAGTTCACATGCCCTACAAAATAGAACCAAGCAATATAATGAATATACATTGTCTCTGTGACATACCGATTCATTTAGTCCACTTTCCTCTTCTTTCAAGACCGGATTTTGCAGGAAACTGCCAATGACTTTTTCTGTGCGACTGCCATATGATGCATCTACTGAAGGCCTTTGTGATGCAAAACTTTCATAAGCAGAACTTATACTTGGTTTTTCATCTGTTGACAAACCTTGAGATGTCTGATCAGGTATTTTTGTAGCCAACTGCATGATACTTCCCACTGGATTTTGACTGGAGGATGACATTCCACTTTGCAGAGATGATGGAATGAGACCTTGATCAAGGGATAATTTTGGAGATAGTCCAAACTTCATCATCATCTTTGTCATTGCTTGCTAGCAAATATGGAGTTTCAATTTTAGATATGTAAAAACAATATAGTAGCAGGTTGCTGAGGAGAGGGAATGACACATACTATTACAGAAGATTGAATCTGATGCACTACCCCAGGCTTCACTGCAAGACCTGCCATGCAAACATGAATCTTTACATCGGGCCAAGAAAGAAAGTACCAGGATGAACTAAAATTGCGGAAACTCTGTCCAATTCAAAATGACAATGGACAAGGCCAAGATTTATTGTTAGACCATTGATGTAGTGCAGCATGAACCTTGAAAAGTTTTTCCACAATAGTTTTTCTTACTTCCTAACCCAGCTACTGTACAGATCGTCACTTTTATCAGGAAGCAAGTGCTACATTATTATTGAAGCTTTCAAGCCAAACTATATGTTCCATGCAGGAAGTATACTAACATCTAAAAAGATTGAAATAGATAAAGCAGTAAACACAAAATTTCATGTGCAACATGTACTCTGTCTGCAATAAAAAGAAGGGTACTATGTTGCTTCCAGTGTGGTGCAGCACTAAACCAACATATATAATAGGTAGTTAATTAATAGTTGAAGTTTTAGGATTATACAAGTGCATCAACATCATGCATAAATCCCAAACACTGTATATTTCCGTCTCATACATACCAACTCCAAAACCATGCCCAAAACCAACTCCACATCCGATGCCTGCCTCAATGTTCTTTGCTCCAATCTTCCTCAACTAAAGAATAAAAAATTTCAGAAGGTTAATAGGATGGCAGACATGCAAGAGAAATTGAATATAGTAACATGCATAATTCAGAAAAATAGAAGTCAGGGAACACGTATACAACATACAGTGTCATTAACATGTCTTCCAACACCAGAAAAAGCATCTGTTGCACCTCTGGTTGCACCCATAATTTGGTTCACTACAGGTATTGCCCCTAAGACATAAATTCAATAAACGTCTGCTTTATGGTACGAATGATTCAACTTGAAAGAATGAAAGAAGCTGAGCACAAGATATACATATAATCATTGTAAAAAATGGATGCTTTCCCAATGGAATGTTATGTAGGAAGAAATATCTCTTCATTCCTTCCAAGATCAATTTCAAATAGATCATCATATTATTCTCAAGTAATATTCACTTTTGTCCTTCTTTCTATCTCTCCACTTAACTCATGCCCATGATCATGAATAGTCAAATCTTTTATGCAGTTCCATTTCAAGTTTTAGTTCAAAATTTTTGGAAATTAGTATGAAACACTAAAATGGATTAAAAAATTAAATTTTCAGCAGCAGTAGCTGCTAAGTAGATTGAATTGCAACTTATTTTGAATGAGCATCACATCATCAGATGCATACATGGAAAGGATAACACATTCAAGCTAAAAGTTGAGATGCATGTAAACTTCATAAAACATATCCATCAGTCTGTTAATAGACGTGCTAAGATTTATCGCACATATAATATCTTCCACTGTGTTCTACGGCCATTATGTCTCCACATATTCTGTGAAGTAAATAACCAACAATCAAAATGTCCCCTCCTTTGTCAATTAAAAGACAAAGAAAAAGTCCAATCCTTTAATTAGACTCACTGGTGGCAATAGCACTTGTTTCCTGAAATAAACTATGCACAACATAATGTTTTACAGAACAAAATTGATTTTTCAGAAACATGTAAAGGAAGATAGAAGACATAAATCCTTTCCCAATGCACACTTTGTCAACAAAAATCCATTAGCAAAAAGCAAATTAAGTTGCTTTTATTTCCTAAAACAAGTAGCTGAACCAATAATTGACATGCATGGATAAATCAATTGCTTCAGGAATTGCAAAGAACAAACAGTAATAGCATAGAATTAAACATGTTTTGCATATACACAAAAATGCGTCCACAATTCCAACTCAAATTAGAAAGTGATACAGCAAACAACTGAAAGAAATTAGTGTACGCTGAGGTTCAATAGCTGAAGATTTTTGCGAGCTGCCAACTTTTGGTTTGAAGAACCCTCCTAAATCCATCCTCCTCAGTAATTTGTAATGAGAGACTAAGAACAGACAGTAAGGGAAGAAAATACCTAAATTTATAGGGCGGCCTACGCCGATTCCCAGACCGCAGCCGATGCCAAACCCCGTGAACACTTGACCCACCTTCAAAGTAAACGGATTCTCTATCCTCATCCTCTGCCTGCTCACTATTACTCCTCCACTGTTACTACTGCTCTCCATCCTTCAACTACAAGGCTCTTTCTGAATACTCTTTTCGCCTTTTTCTATCCAAAGCTAGAGCATAAATTGACTGCTAAGGAACTCCATAGCCCGATTCCGCGCTCTGTCCGTCGGAACCTCGTTCTCGCCCGAATGTATATATCCGTTGATTATGTATATATACGATGGATCAGTAAATCTTGTCTGGTTCTCAAAGAGAAGAGCGGTAAGTGAAGTCGGGGAGAGCTTCGTTTGAGCAATTGACACGTAAGGTAGAGGAATAATTAGATTACTAACATACCCTTACATTTTGTGGAATTACACGTATGTGATCGGTACCTAACGGTCGTCGGAGGTTCCTGAAGACCGAGAAGTTGTACTCACCTATTACGTTCTCAACTACATTTTATTTTATTTTTTGATTATGCAGAGGGAGGCGGCGGTGTGAGCGGGGGGGAACCATGTGAAAAGCCTAATCAAAGCCCTATCTGTTAAGCTGCATATATTTTTATAATTTTATTTTTGGGAGAGTAAATTGCTTTGTGAAAATATAAAATGTCATTTAATTAGTCATAATTTCATCAATTTATTTATTTGATTGAAAAAACCCAAATTTACGGATTAATATGACCACTTCTATTTCTCTTTCCATATTGTCAGTTAATAAATGGAATTAAGCCTATTAATAAATATAGTGTATTTAACATTAAATTCAAACTAGATAAATAAATCTCATTAAATGTTTGATACATGTATAAAAATGTGACGTAAAAAATGCATATATGTGCCAAACACGTAATGACACTGATTGGCTGTGTCAATATATAATAACAAATAAAACAATAAATATGATATTAAAGTAACTGAATTTTCCTATTAATTCAGTAATCCCTGTGATATCTTCAATATTTGCAAAGAAAAAAAATGTTATTTTCTATTAGCTGTTTTCATTTTATCATGCTGTTGCCAATTAATGCAGTGTTTGATGTGAACAAATAAGGGACCACCCAACATGGGTTTGGTTTGACAATAAGCTCCAACAAAGTCTCCACGTTGTTTCATTTAAGTATTTTTATTTTTCAGTTTTATGTTTTGCCTACTTAAGTCAAGGGTTAAAATTTTAATTTTTTAAAAAGATTTTTATGATTTAAAACCAAACAAAAAGTACATAATTGGGTTTTATGTTATTAATTTAAACTTGATGGGGAAGATTTGAATCATACGTTGATCTTATGTCAAGCATTACGGTTAAGCAAGAGTAAGACGTCATCTAATTTTTCATCTCCCCACGCTTCAGGGGTCTCATGGTCAAATAAAAGTCTATTTTCCTAAGAAATCACGTAACCTTCCGGCATTAAAGCTTGTTGTTAGTTCACTGGACAGGTCATGAAGATATAGATAAATCTGCAGGGATTGGTATTCTGATTTCTGTTTTTGGTACTGTTTTCAAAAACAGAAAACCATAAAAATATTGAGAATTCCACTGTTTTCATATCCTTTCAATTTCTGAGCCAAAATAATTTTCCAGAGTTTTAAAAACTGTACTGGGGGAGCTTGTTTTCTCAAAATCATCTTGAAAACGAGTTCTAAAGGACGACTTACAAGGCATTTTTAGTTTTTCGAAACAAATGCAAACGGGCAGCAATGGCCACTTTTAAGGTAGATCTAATCTAGTACTTTCATAATATATAGTTTGCCAAACAGAATTTCAATACCACATTTCATCTTTCAATGTTTTTCGAAACATAAAAGCATATTCCATAAACAACAAGCAGATAATCATATTTCCGTAAATCTAGACTAGAATTGACCAGATAACATTGGGACCCAAACCCCGCCCCCCCCCCCCCCCCCAAAAAAAAAAAAAACAAAGAAAGAAAGAAGAAAAGTTGCAGAAACAAATTCCTAGTTAATAAACTTGCTGGAGCAAATTTTAGCAGCTTAAACGCCCATAGAATCCTAATTACATTTCGATCCCATCAGGGACAGAGACAATAACATTTGTCGGAGAAATATCTTCATCAGATGATGGAATTACCATCACAAGTCCCTCTCCTAAGACACTGTTAATCCAGCAAGAAACCTGAACTGGCTTATTCCCTTCGTTAAAAGCCACTTCTCTGGCCCCTAACTCATCCCAGCTGACACGGCTTATTCCATAAGAGCTTTCCGGCTTCTCCAAAAGCCCTTTTGTAAAATTCTCAACTCTTACCTCCACAGGGAGCTCTTTCACGAGCAAAAACTCAGAAGCTACTTTCTTACCCAGCAGAATCTCTGCCTCTTCAACGCATTGCGAGACTAGTGCCTTGTCCCCTCTACCATTGGAGTTCAATTTTTCATTAGCTGTTCTGAAAATCAGAGTTCGTCCATGTGTTTTTATCTTGTTTGAGCCGTTCTGAACGTCGGAAACAGAGAGATTTGACTTGAAAGTAGGGAAGAAGAAGATGGGCTGGACCCCATGACTTGCAAAGGTTATGGTGTGGTGGATCTTGGCCCATTTTTTTAGGAAGCTTATGATGGCCAAAGGGCTTGATAGGAGAAGGCTGCTGCTAATTCCCACGGAGTACCCTCCGCACGAGAAATTTGTCACCTGGAAAAAGCAGTTTTCAGAAAACACGAATCAGGGGTGGAGGAATAACCGAAAGTTACCGGCAACTTGTTTTGTAAATTTACTGCACCAGGACTTCAATGCATTCACCATATCCATGTTTCTGCACCTACCCAGATCCACAAAGAAATTGTTGTATTGCTGCGATTTTGGACAATTTTGATTTGTTTCTTAAAACTGCACCTAAAATTTGCTTGATGGCTACCTTACTGTGTTTGGATTTGAATTTTTCTTTTTCTGATTCCAGTTTTCAGTTTTCGTTCTATGTGTTTACAGAAACAAAAAAAACACTAGAACTCTGCTATTCAACATTATCAGACGAAAACCCATTAAAAAAAAAAAAAAAACATTACCAGACGAAAAGAGTTTCTCATAATTTTAAAAACAATTTTTTATTTTTTGAGAAGAGGCTTTTTTTTATAGAATTTCCCTTGAAACCAATATTCCGAAACAGCCTAACAGATGGGTTTTTTAAGCTTTCCAAACATAAGATAATTTTCAAAAATAAATCCTAAAAGTAGAACCTGTTCTTTGCTTTTGGCTCATAGCAATTCATATCGATGTGACGAGGGAATACATTCTCCGTTATTGTGAGCATTCTTTCGCAGGTCTCTTATTTTTTGGTACATTGAAGGGTTTAATTGAAAGAATTAAGAATTAAATCCTTAATTTCTAAATACATTTTACTGGTATTAAATCTCAAATTTGTAAATCCTTTATTCACTATTCGAGCAAAAACGAAACAACCTGAAAATAACGGAATTTCCAAATTTTCTAGTGTTTTATGTCGGGTGATGTCGAGCAAATTTCAGAGCATTTACCTGGACATAGAACAGCGGAGAAAACTGAGGATTTTGGTCATCAATGTCGTGCCAGGAAACAAGCTCCGCCTCTGCACTCTCTCTGCCCTCCAAATCCAAAAACTCGTCCAAGGTTTTCGATATCCGAGCCTCGAACAATCTCGCGCCGTTGTCGTTTGTCACAATCTCCAGCTCATTGCCAGGGCCCACGTTCTCCCCTCGTCGGAGCCGGCCGGCGAGCATGGGCTGCTCCTCCAACGCCCTTCCGAGAGACTCTTTCATCCATCCCGCCAGAAGCCAGCCGGAGTCCTCTCCGGACGCCTTCCTGTAGTACAGGACGATGTGGAGGCACCGCCGGAGCCCAGCGGCGGAGGCGGAACCTGCGGCCTTGACTCGGCGAGTGAGCCTTGGCTTAGTCACCTTCAGCGGGACAACTGATTGCATAGCTTGGATTTGGGAGTTGGGGAGGGGGCTGCCTGTGCTGTAGCCATTGGCCGTCGCCATGTTGAGTCGCCTTGGGAGAAAGAAAGTTGGTGAGTCTGCTATTTATAAGAAAAAAAATTCCTCCATATAACAAGGATAGAATAAATAAAGCGGGATAAATAATGAAAAAAATACAGCGCAGAATAAAAATTATAAAGTAAAATTTCAACAAAATTATCATAAAATATAATCGGAAACTAAATTTTTTGACTGTTTTTATTAATATTTAATCAGATTTTTTAATTATATTTATTAAGGTCTTACAACTTATTATTTTCTACTAAATTGCTTCCCATGCACTACGCGTATGACTTATAAATATACCTTCTAAAATTTTAAATATTAATTGACTTACCTTTATAATTCAAAAATCTAAAACTAAATCAAGAAATTTACATTCAAATAAATAATAACAAAATTAATCACGTATTCACGTAAATAATATATGTGACATTAATTAAAGCGAACAAATGATAATTTTATAAATAAGCAAATATAAAAAATTATCAATCTTAACATATATACATATATAGGAATTATTAATTAACATATAATGTAAGTTCAAGATACTTACACCGCATTTTACACTGTTAATTTATTCAAAATTAACATATGAGATTAATTAAAAAAATATAACTGTAAATTAGTTATTAAAAATTAACTTCATCCGCTAATTTTGACCAAATTAATAGTGTGAGATGTGGTGTAAGTATCTTGAACTTATACTATATATAAATTAATATATATATACACACACACTAAAAAGTGCTAAAGGAGACTGCATTACTAAATAAGCTGAAGGAATGTGGCCAAGCAATATGTAAGTTTGAAAGTTAGAAACGAGTAGAAAAGGAAGTAAACTAACCAAATTAACCAGTAATAAAAATTCAGCGAAAAAAAAAATTTGGTGTCCTAATCTCTATTCATTTTTCGTGTAACTTTTTTATTATTTTTATTGGTAACGTATGAGATATTATTTTTATTGGTAACGTATGAGAATAATTTAGGTGATGAGACAATAACCGGCAAACCAACCGTTGATTTCCCTTGCTAGTTTTCGTGAGCAATCAAGTTGAAGAGTTATTATCTATGATTATATTTGTAGGTTTACGTATGCACCTAGCTTCCTTGAAGGAGTTGAACAGAAAATGAAAAATCACTTAATTTGATTCTAATTTGGTAATTTTAAAAAAACTAATTTAGATAATTCGATATTGGCAACTAATCCAATCAATTCCCTGCCTTACCCTCTCCATTTAATTTTCCACTTGTGGGCCTCTAATTCAATCGTAAGATGAGATGGGTCAATGAGATTTTAATTTTTCTTCTTTCTCTTCTTGTTCGTTTTTTTTTTAATAAAAACAAATGAGATATAAATGTTAGAATTTTTTAATAAGTTTATATTAATTACTTAATTTTATTTTTATAAAAAAGGTTAAAATTGTAATACCCCAAGGGTAAAATCAAAAATTTTAATAATTTAGGAACATAATTGTAAAGTACAAAAAAACTGGGATATAATTAAAAGGTTCAGAGGATCCAATTGATGAAAGTAAAATTTTTGGGGCTTGCATAAAATAACTAGAATTTTCGGGGGCAAAATAGAATGAAATCAAGGGTATTGGGACCAAAGTAAACACAATTCGACCTAGAGGGACCAGATTTTAAAACCCTCCAAAAATCTAATTTTTATTCCCAAATTTCACCTTTCAAAAATTCCTAAATCTAATCAGATCAAATCTTGAGAAATCACGAAGGTAAACCCAAATTGGACATACACTCTTGTTGATGTAAGTCTGTAGAACAAGATCCCTAGGTTAATTTCATGAAATAACTTTGATCGGTGAAGAATTTTAAAGGAAAACAGCCGCCATTACCATCCATCAAGTGTAGGGAACACCAAATTGGCAAGAATTGCTACAGATTTCTCACATAAAATCTACCCCCTAAGCATCGTCTCACAGTCTTCTAGAAGAATTTGAGGCCAATAACAAGAATTTTTATGAGATTTTAGGTGTTTGAAGATCAGGTAAAAGGGACAGGTTCGACTAGAAATCAAGTATGTTTAGACCCTATTTCCTAAAATTGGGTTGTGTATAGAAGGGCACCTGGATTTGGGCCGTGTTTTGGGCTGAGCCAAGCCTGTGTCAGTTAAATTGGGCTGGATGAGATTTCTAGATCTAGGTTAAAAAAAATGAAATAGGAAAGAAAATACAGCCGATTGAGGGACAAGTCACCAGTTTAGCCTAGGTTTAGGGTTTAATTAATTAACTGGAAGTAAATATCAATTGGTTCAAGCCTTTTTAGGACTGGTTCAATATCCAAAAACTCGGGTTTCTGCTAAAAGTGACCGGTTCAAGTAGTTTAAGGCTCGGTTCAGTGTAGTTTATGCCCAGTTTAGCGTATTATGTAGCTAGTTCAGTGCATTAAAGGCCGGTTCGAGATCAGTTATTAGAGGCTAGTTCAAGGCTGGTTAGTGTATTAAAGGTTAAACCATGGCCAGTTTAACACTCTAATGAACAGTTCAAGGCTGGTTTAATACTCTAATAGTTAGTTTATATGTTAAATAAACTAATTGTATACTTTATAAGTCTGGTTCAAAACTTTATGTAATGACCCTAAATTGAAATATTAGGGTTTTATGTAACTAATTTGGAGAAATAGGGGCCAAGTGCACAAATTAGCGGTTTGAGGGGCAAATATGTTAAATTGGAGGGCTTAACTACAAGAATTATGAGTTCTGGGGCGAAATAAGGAAGTTTGGAAAGTTCAGGCTCGTTTAGGTTAGGCAGGGGCCAAATTGAAAGGAATAAAAATTTCATGGATTAGTTTGTGACAAGGTGGATCATCTGCATATCCATTGTGCACTGCCCATTTCTTGTCAAGTCCTCCACCATTGGCTCATTTTTCATTGAATTTTTCTTTTAGGTGTGTGTGATGCTCTGACACGGGCCAAACCCTTTGTTAGCTTCAAGATTTGAGTGAGAGAAAGAGAGAGAGATATTCAAGTTTTCCGGCTGGCAGAGCTCAAGAACTGCCCACAACATTTCCGGGGCTTTGGGGCTTTTTGGTAGCTTTTCTTTCCGATTAAAGTTGGTTTGAGGCTCACTTGGTTCGGATTTTAGGTTCTGGAGTATTAATCGATCTAGGTTTGTTTGGTTTTTCTTTTTTTTTCTCGTTTTTCTTTTCTAGTTTTCTTATTGCAAAAGTCTGGCCTGCAACCGAGTTTGAACGCCAGGTCATCGGGCAAAAGAGACGAGACTCGAAAGGGGGTCCAAGTCCCACCTTGGGCTGGGCAGGCCCAGTTAGGTCGGGTTCAGCCTTTTTAGGCTACAAGCTCGCAAGCTTGACCGTGGGCCAACAAAAAAAAATGGAAATGAAGTTTGGGATGGGCCCAAGTCAATGGGCTTGAGTCGACGAGCCGGTGGGCTAGTGGCCCAAGCCGAGCAGCTGAGCTAGTGAGCCGAGCCAAGCTAATGAAAAAAAAGTGGACCGTTGACTGAATTGATCAGGGTGTTTGACCGACCGGTTCAGTGATTTTTTTTTTTTTTTTGCTCGAATTCTTGAAGTTGGTCCAGTTCCTAGGGTTTTGGAGCCTTCTGAATTCGATTTTGAGGGTTTTGTGACTGATTGAGTTGAGTTTGAGGTAGTTTTAAGTTGATTTGGGCTAGTTCGAGGGTTTTTAAGGTTCGTTCACTATGGTTCAAGGGTTGTGGAGGCAAGTTCATTATTGTTGAGGTTGTTGAGTAGAATTGTTGAGTGTTAGTGAGTCACACAAGTCCTGGTGATGGGTAGTGGTATCTCGAGATACGTGTCAAGGTGTTGAGTGAGGTGACTCGGGACTTCTCTTTTTGACTCGCCTATACTATGAGTGATGATACCTTCCCTATGCATGTATTTTATACTATGTTTTCCTGGCATGATAGACTTTATATTTTCTTACTGTATTTTGACTTACATTATTTCGGGATATGTGTTATATGTTTTACAAACTGACAGCGAGTTATGTTAGTATTTGTCATTGGTTTTCATGATATGACTACGTATGCATATGTATATATACATGTTAATTGACATATGGGGAGTTGTACTATGTGATGAGGCTATGTTACTCTAGGCGTGAGATGATGGATGCCTTCGGGCGGAAGCATGATATATGATTTAGTTGAGCTTGATCGTGAAACAAATGATTCCTCCAATCGGAGATGGCCATCTGATGTGTTTGTAATGTCTCTGATTGTGAGATGTAGGATGCTTTCGATCATGAGAGCCACGAGACTAAAGTCTTGTGGTGAGATTTGTTGTACTCTCACATGTTGTTTTGATGTTAGTATTGCTCACTGCATATGTATATATATTTATGTTTTGATTTGGTTATGTGATACATATTCTATCATGTATAGTTTAGGTATCATCTTTACTCACTGAGTTTCGCGACTCACACATTATTATCTTTCAGATCAACTTGACTGTTCATATTCCAGATAGCAGTGTTCAGAGCCGTGCTTCACGAGTCGATCGATGTTCGAGCGTATTCTTGTGTTTACCTACTTTTGTACTCTAGTGCTTCATTTATCTTCCAGACAGGATTTTATTTTGTATTTTGAACAGTTTGAGACATATATACACATGATTTATTTGTTTTCTGAGTATGGTTTGTTGTTATGAGGTTAACCAAGTCAGGACTCTAGTGCTAGTCACGAGCCCGAGTTTGGGTTGTGACACTTTAGGACTCGGTTCATGACTTATTTAGTTGGTTTGAGGCTTTAATAGTTCAATATAGGTTTCAGGCATGAAAATTTAGAGATTTACTTAGATTTTAATCAGGAAAATTATGTTTAATTGATTATTAGATGTATCAATAACCTAAAATAAAATACTTTATTATTTTAGATTCTCTAAACAGTTCACGACGAGACCTTATACCATAGAAGATTTGACCACTCTATTTTGTGAGTAATAATATGCATTCATAAGTATTTACTGCTTTCCATATCTGTTATAAAATTTTGAATTTACAT